GATCATAGCTATATCCTGGAGCGTCATGGTCATCTCTCCGGTCCGAAGATGGAAACTGTGTGTCTCTGGCCTCCAATGATCAATAAGCATGGTGAGTGCTACAGCATTGTTGGGTGGCGTCGACCGGCTGACCAACTGAATGAAAGGGAGAAGTCCCGTCTCCCTTACATATGGTGTGTACCACTCATCACAGAGCATCCACCCAAGGGTGACCCCGTGAGACCGAAGCTTCAGAGGTGCAAGCTCCTACAAACAAACAAATCATAAAATTACATATATGGGGCATTTGTGTTTGAAATAAACACGAAATTCATAACACTGACCACTTTCATTATTATCCGCTGCTCCACCGACATAGCGTACGACCAGTGTTGTTTGTCCCAGTGATCATCGAGAAGCCAAACCACCCTAACAATCTGAAAAAAAGCTTTCTTGTCATTGGTGCGTATCTTTTGAACACAAATAAACTAAAGTACACCTACTAGATGCAAAATTCAAAGCATATGTATCTAAAGCATTCTTGTCAATACAAATATAATTTCAACACAAATAAACTAAACTAGGCCTACTTCATGCAAGATTAAATACAAATCTCTTTTCCATATAAAATAACATGTCAACCTATGTATCCAAACCATATCTTTTTAATAAAATAAAATAAACTAGGGTCGCAAAATTAGGTACATGCAAGATTATAATACATGCAACATTCAAATCTAATCAAATCAAACAAGGGTTCCTCAAAATCTTCAAAATAGCATACATTATATGGATGGAAAGAAGGGGATCGGATGAGGGTACCTTCTAGGATGGATTGGTGAAGGAATCCACGGACCAAATCGTCCGATCTGATGGATTTAGGAGAGGGGATTGAGAGGGGGAGAGGAGAGGACCGCCGCCACGGCTTCTTCTCGTTCTGTAACTGGTGGCAAAGGGGTGGGCGGGGGAGGAGAGGGCCGCCGCGGCTGGATGTAAGTCATAGTGCAGCACCCGAGGGCTAGGTGCTGCACTTTACATGTGTGGCGCCTAGCACGCAGGTGCTGCACGGCTGGGTGCGGGGCCCAGGCCTGCCACGGTGGACAGATGTGCAACGCCCCCCAAGTTAGGCGCTGCACGGTAGGGTGTGACGCCTGCGTGGCGCGCGCTACACAAAAAGGTCACCGGCGTGAAATAGTTTCAGGGGCAGTTAGTTTCAGGGGCAGTTCATTCTGTGATTTGATTTCGTCCCGAGGTCAAAATTGTCAAATTTGCCGCCGGTGACAGCCTCCGTAGTAGCATTGCTTGCTGCTAGTCGCAGCACGGATCGCTCATCGTCGGTTGCAATGCTAGAAGTGACGGATCCAGAATTCTATACATTTCTTTTTCGCGATGAAGAATTTTACATATGGGTGTTAAAAAAAATGCAGGTATCAAAACAAAAATTGATCTAATATCTAAAATGTCCACGTAGCAAGAACCCTTTTTCCATCAAAATGAGAATACCTTATAAAAATGAAAAACCGTGATGCTATGGCAGAAGTCTTAAAGTACTAGTAAGATGCCCGTGCGCTGCACGGAACACTAAAATGCATTGATTCGGAAGTTGTTTATTTGACAAAGTATGTGGTGGTCATATCATGTGTAACAAATATGGATAGGTTTCCTTGTATATTCATTCTGATCTAGAGCTCACAAGCATCCGAGCGTGAATAGTAAACTAGCCTAACCCGCCGCGCTCGATGATCACTCGCAAATGTGCAATCTACTGATTCAAGAGTGGATCAGTGCATGCTGACTTAATCTCAGAATAATATATAGAGACATTAAAGAAATCGAACATACGAAGCTATTGAAATGTTGCAAACGTAGGGATACAAAGGTACAAATTAAAAGTAGCACACTTCAGAAGTAAACCAGTTATTCAAACTACATACAGTTCACTGCAAACAAGAACTGTATATAAAAACACAAACACACTACATAAATAAGCTAGAAGTAGTTGCTAGTGGATTAGATCATTCTAGTATATCCTCCTGAAGGATTGGTGCCTGTGATAAAGTGGTAAAGTGATTTTGCGAATTCCTGCACACGTCCGACGGGAGGGTGCGCGCCCGTGTATTTGATAATGGGATCGTCGCTATCTGGGAGCTGGGGATACATGTGAAGTGGTAATTATATGGAGTGGTATGATATTTGAAACATTGCCACATATCGTTGCAAACATTTTAGTCTGCCTTGTGAATAGACCTTGTTGAGCATTATTATGTTGGCAAGGATTTTCTTCTTCTTCACAAAGTAGTAGTGTATTTTCTTTTTCTTTTTTTTGCGAGAAAAAAGAGATTTCATTGCTTAACCAGTGTGGTTACAATCGTTTGAATACAGCAAATCAATCTCAAAGGGAACCGATCTAAGCCACACCGCAGTGCGCTTGTTGTGATAGTAGTAGTGTTTGCTTGTAGATGATAATTTATGTTATTATATTGCATATAGTTTATGTTATTATATTGTGTACAGATATTTCTCAGTTGTTGTTGAGTTCTTTTAATGTTTTTTTTTCATATTCTTGTTTGTATATTGAAGTGTCTCAGGTAATTGTGCTTATTTTGTTTAAAATAGTGGTTGGAAGCATGTAAGTGTAATAGAAGAATAATTAATTTAATATGTGCAAGACGTTCGGAGCCAATCCATTGAATCACAAAGTACTAGTGTCTGCTTGTAGATGATAGTTTATGGTATATTGCATACTCCTTCCGTCCGCGAACAAGTGTACATCTAACTTTTATCTTCGGTCAAAGTTTTAAAAGTTTGACCAAATTTACAGAAAAGAATAGTAGCATATATGACATCAAATTGGTATATTATGAAAGTACATTTCAAAATGAATCTAAGGATGCTAATTTGGTGCCATAAATGATGCTACTTTTCCTAGAAAGTTGGTCAAAATTTTAAAACTTTTACTCAGAATGTTATTATATTGTGTATAGATATTTCTCATTTGTTGTTGAGTTTTTTTAATGTTTTTTTTCATATTCTTCTTTGTATATTGGACTGTCTCGGGTAATTGTGCTCATTTTGTTTAAAATAGTGGGTGGAAGCATGTAAGTGTAACAGAAGAACAGTTAATTTAATATGTACAAGACGCTTTGGAGCCATTCCACTGAATCTATTTGACGTTGGAAACTTTCAGATTTTTTTTAATTTGTTACTGTTCATAGCCTCATATGGGGTGTAGGGGCACCCAGAGCTGAAAAACCACTCCCACCGACAAATCCTCCAAAAATCTGGTCGGATGCCAATTTTCCTTGTATAGAAAGAAAATAACATGTCTTTAAATCCCATGAGGGAGTTCCAAAATTGTGAGTGTCTATGTCCTTCTTTAGCTTGACAAAGTCTGACTACTGAGGAACTTTTTCTGCAGTACGTGAGTTGCATCTTCAGATCCAAATTTCTACAGGCACTTTCCAAGAAGACAAACATTCATATATATTCTAAATTCAGAATACACATGCAAGTCGAAACCGGCTGCACCGTAAATAGAAAAGCCAAAAGTGCTAAGCACCGAGCTACAGACACACCTGAACAAAGGCTTGCATGCGATCTCTTTCTTGGTTCTGCCTTTTTCCTTGCTAGCTAGCTAGCTAGTTGAACTAACGGATGTATACACCCGATCATGCATGGTCTATTCATATATTCTGAATTCAGAGAGGCCGCGATCATGCTTCTCTCTTGATTTTTTTTTTCCTGCATGATTATAATGATCCGTCTACATCTTGATCTTTGTAGGGGCATGGGTCTACATCTTATAATGATCCGTCTTCCTGCCAATGGTCTGTATATTCAGACGAGCACGACCTCGGCACCCCGGGCTACAACGAAAGCGGCTGTGGCGGGGATGTGACGTTGCTCCTGCTGCGCCCGGAGCTCACGTGCAGGCGGCTCATGCATCTCGCTAGAAGTAGCGTCAGCATGGTAAACAGATCCTTCACGGAACCAAAAAAAAGCCCCACATTTCCGGCAGCACAAATTCGGCCCACCATAATACGAACGCCCCCTAAGTGGTTGTTTGGATAATAAATATTAGCATTGAGTTTATATAAAACGAGTTTTTACCTGATTTTTAGGAAAACCAGTTTTTACTAACTTCTTTGTTAATAGTCAGTTTACAGAAGACCATGTTTGGGTTGAAAAGTGGGTTTGTCCAGTTCCCTATTCTCCGGTGATTTTCTTGTTCTCGACTTTCCGTCAATGAAACGCAGGTAATGGAACTGGGTAGTTGATCTCACCGGACGGCCGCGTACACGCACACGTAGAAAGTTGCTACCATGGGCAAGCATCTGCCGGCTGTGAAATGTACGAAACGTACACGTACGCGAGAGACACAAGAGGATTCATGGCAAAAGCCTCCTCGGATCCACCTTCCTCTTGGTCGTTCACGCTGCATGCACGTAGGCATTCATGGCCATGGCACCCCTGTCTGTGGCTATGTACCCTCGCCGTTGGGGTTAAGGACGAGAAAACCTTTGTGCCCACGGGTGCAAACCCTTTGGTCGACGCCAAGCTGCAGGCATATATGGCTCCTCCTGCTTTGTTGTCACGTGCCGACGGCTCGCCGCGAACGCTCAACGAGCTGACCTCGGCGGCGGTGACGACGACCAGGACGGACGACACGGAGGACGCGTCAGCCGTGGCGCGGCGGCCAGACGAGGACGTACAACCACGTGGTACGACTCACCGGTGAGCTGATCACAGCCGCCGTTGTCTCACTGACCCTCGAGCAGGCCGGAGATATGTATTCAAGGACGTGGCAACCACCAGCCTCGGTAGCTTCTCTTCGCTCATGAACGGGCCCGCTGGGATCGGCAACAGAGACGAACGAGGATACGCAAATCGAGTTTTTACAAAAACGACTAATAGTCGTTTCTCCACAAACGCGAAATTCTGGGTTATAGAAAATTCGGTTTTCCAAATCCACAGATTAGTTAGGCTAGCCAAACGTGGTTTTAGGTTGTTAGGCCGTTTTCTTAGTTTATATAGAACGGATTTTCTACAAACCACCTATCCAAACAACCTCTAAAAGTAGCTGCAAAACAGAACACCGAGTTGGCAACACAGATGGAAAGCAACACGGGCACATAAACCATAAATTATATATACTCACCCTTAACCAATTGGATGTAATCTTTAGAAAAGGGAGGTTGCATCACACGTACTGGAAATAGAAGGGAAAAACATAAGACCACATGCATCAGCGTCCGGAGAAGAATAAGAACAACGACCAAAAAAATACCTCTTTTCCGGCCCGACCAGTACGATCGCACCAAAATCCGCTTACGGCGTGCACACACAACACGAGAATGCTCCATAAGAGGAGTAGGCATCACTCAAATGGCAAACACGTACGCAAATTAGAACCAATCCTAGAAAAACACCACAAAACCCAAAAGAAGTACACACATATTTAGGAAACTGGACTTACCAAGAGGAGTAGGCCGACCAAAGATACCAGCGGCACATAAAGGCACCACTCTTGGACGGCAATGGAAAGTCGTATCACCAACCAAAGAGCCATAAAGATGAACACCAGCAGGAAAATCAGAAACAGAAGCACTCGTTCTGTCAACCACTTCGACAAGCAGAATACCTGCAAGCAACCATTAGATGGACCACATTAGAATCCTACCAATAAGCACAACACCAAACGGCTAAATAGAACAACACCAAAGTCATAAAATAAATGAAATAAGCAACAAAGAAAAAAGAAAACAACCAGGTCGTACGCTGGCAGGCCAAACAGCCGGGACAGACCCACCGGCCACTGAAGAAGAGCACGCACCAACGGCAGCACCTGCAAGAAAAAGAAGCAAGAAATCGGCACAGACAACAATCAAACCAACAAAAAAGACACAGCAAAACAGCCACAGGCACGCACAGGCACTCGCATGCATACAGCAAGAATCGAGGGCACTCACCGACGGTACAATCCACAGGCCGCTTCCCTAATGAAATCTCCCGACGACGACTATCAACGTCCACATTAACATCTCGCCACGATACTAATCGGTGCACACCCACAACATGAAATAACCAATCAATAAGATGGCAACCTAGACGAAGCAGCACAAAATCTGTACAGAGGAAACTGCAACGACAAAAAGGCAAAAAAAAATGCTCACCAGCCCGGGAAGAACGAAACGGCCGGCGAGACCCGGACCGGAGGCGGCATCCCGAATCAGCCGGCCGGCCACGCCCACCAGCGAATGCCATCGTCGACGACGAATCCACGGAAGAAATGCGGCCGGCAGCGCGGCGCACGCGGGCAATGACAGCCGCCCGAATCCCAGGAGGGCGGCCCCGACAGCGTCGGCCGGATCGAACCGTAGCAGGCCCAGCCATCGCCGAACAAAGAAGCAGCACTACTGCTGAAGAAAGAAGAAGAAAACCGGAAGCGAACGCAATGAGCAGCGGAGGCACAAGAGCACCTGTATTTATAGGGAATGACAGCACAGAAAAGTTCAAATCGGAGACGGGAAGCAAAGGCGGCAGAGAAACACGCAGAGGCTTCCAGCAAAGTGGCAACCGCCAGCGCAGAAATACGCAGAGACTTCCATCGAAGCGGCAACCGCCAGCGCGAAAAGTGGAGAAGATGCAAACGGCAGCCAACCCAGCCAAGCATACGTGGCAAAAAGCAGAGATAAAAAAAGGAAGTAGACAGCGGCGCATGCAGAAGAATCCAAACCAGGCGATAGACAAATTGGTCTCCCCCATGCAACCAATACGAAACTGAACATGGACACCCAATCGTCAAAGGCGGTCCTATTTTTTTAATGATTCCCAGCGACATGCGCTCCGCTCACCCAGGCGTGCACACACCCACATCCCCCACTATTACACGTGTTGCACATTCATTGGATGATTTGTTATGATAGGAAAAAGTGGGAAAAACCAGAAAAACTAAACCTAGCCAAGTTTAGTATATGTAGAATGTAGGCAAAAAAGATAAAAAAACATATATCTTTTGCAAACAAAAGCATTCGACTGTTTAACCTGCATCCAAAACTTAATGAATAAATAACACTTGTGGTGCTTTGCAAAAAATGATCTTTAAAAATTATTTTTGAGTATCAATTTTGTTTTATTTTTCTAGACCACCATGAATGTTATTTTTCACAAAATGCTGCACACAGCTAGAATAGTCCAATATGTTTGTTGCCCAAATGTTAAGATTTGTTTGAATTTATTAATATTATTTCAGCCCAGGAGTCAAGTTCATGTCCCGTCTTTCTCTGCTATTTCTACAAAATTGTTGCATCTCATTTCTACATGTTATCGTCAATTATCACTCCCAGGTAGAATCTTGTGCAAGTGGATGCTCTAGAGGCAACTTTGCTGCATGTGCTCCTTGCTCCATTGTTCTCACAAACCTATTCCAAGCTATATATATTTTCCCCCAAAAAAGATTCAGGCTGCATCCAATCAAGTAACAACATACTTGAGTTGCCGTTTTAACTTCTAATTGGAAATGAACACTAAAAAGGTGAATTGTACATCTAACCGATTTTTTCCTCTCAGCAAACATCACATTTCATGTTTCCGTACAAACATAGACTCAAGCTATAACCTGAACATAACTGGAAATGAACTCGCATATCTTCAGGCAAGGAGCGGTGCTTTCATCTAGCCTAGTGTTGTCTCACTTTCATAGAACAGTGAATCAACGTCTCCATGGTCAAGTATTCTTCAAAAGAAAATAGAACAGAAAAAAAAAACTTGCTCAAGAAAAGAAATCTGAATATAAGAAAACCAAATCTTGCTTAATTAGACTCCAGTATATTGTGCACGATAAACTTAGAAAACTCCCGTTTCTTACTCTTATAAAAACAGAGTTGCTGATGATGGTGTGTCTGCCATCCTGCAATATAGGGTATCCGATTTATATCCGACGGATAGGAAGGAAACCATGGTGATTTTGCAAAAAGATACCCACACCCCTCTCCACATTTGCAAATAAGGCCTTTTCTCGTTCATCATTTTCTCCCACAAGATAAACTACTCATACAAATGCATCTTGATGTTTCGTGCAACGCATGGGCATCGTCTTGCTAGTTTGGAAAAGAACTCTATGAGACCAGGTCTCACGGGTTAGCAGGTGAGATCCATCCTGATGGATGACACGTGGCAGTCACAAAGCATCTACCCCACCCCCACCTGAAATCAGGAGGAAAAGATTAGATGCTTTGTGATTTGTGAATGTCACGTGTCATCCATCAGGGCAGGTCTCACCAGCTAACCGTGAGACCTGGTCTCATATAATTTTTTTCCTCCGTTTTACAAGAAAATTTTAATGCGCTAGATTTAATCCAGCGAGTATGGGCAGGATCACGACTAACGAGCCACATCGGCTCGGTCTCACCATTTGCGACAAGCCACTCATGCGCCTCACATTATGCTATGGTGTTCTCCGACGGGGCTTTGTTTTAACCTCTCCGTCAGGGAGGGCAACACAGCAGGCAATACCCACGGACCTATCTATTTTTTCTGGTGTCTTTTCTGTATTTCTTCTAGACAAATGTGTTTCTAGGATCTTTGTGTAGGTGCTGGTGAATCTTCTGAGATAGACACATCAGAGGGAAGGAGAACCTGAATCGGCTAGAGGCCACGGCCATAGAACATTTCAGAGCTCTTCCAGACGAGCAAGACAACTGTGTACAATTTATTATCTCTATAGAAGATAAAATTTTGGCCATAAAATATGTACCAAATTATGTTATCTGGCTACAAGAATTCACACCTGATAGAGTTCATCATTCAACTTCCATACTCATATTCATGCAAATCCATACGTGCAAGCACAGAAGGAGCCTCTTTTCACATAAAGTAAACTTGTCCTGATTCTGTTCTTGCTTCGAGATTTTTTTTGTAAAGTTGGACAGGTAAGAGAAAGTGGGGAAACAAAAGCAGCTCTTGTAACCATCACCAATGCCAAATTAATGGAGCTCAATGGGATACATTTCATTGGACTGCGTAGTATATTAGTATAGAAGATGCGTGACAAAACGATATAGTCTGGATTTGAACTACAAATACATCACACATGCACATGCGCACACGCGCGCGCGCACACACACACACACACATGGAAAGAAGCAGAGAACACGTTCTTGAAAAAAAAAGCAGCTAGAGAGTATACTGATGTCTACTACACAGGCTTCTTCTTATAGACGTTGTTGGGCCTCCAAGTACAGAGGTTTGTAGGACAGTAGAAAATTTCCGTTAAGTGGATGACCTAAGATTTATCAATCCGTGGGAGGCGTAGAATGAATATGGTCTCTCTCAAACAACCCTGCAACCAAATAACAAAGAGTCTCTTGTGTCCCCAACACACCCAATACAACGGTAGATTGTATAGGTGCACTAGTTCGGTGAAGAGATGGTGATACAAGTGCAATATGGATGGTAGAAAAAGGTATTTGTAATCTGAAATTATAAAAATAGCAAGGTAACAAGTGGAAAAAGTGAGCGTAAACGGTATTGCAATGGTAGGAAACAAGGCCTAAGGTTCATACTTTCACTAGTGCAAGTTCTCTCAACAATAATAACATAGATAAATCATATAACAATCCCTCAACATGCAACAAAGAGTCACTCCAAAGCCACTAATAGCGGAGAACAAACGAAGAGATTATGGTAGGGTACGAAACCACCTCAAAGTTATCCTTTATGTTCTATCTATTCAAGAGTCCGTACTAAAATAACATGAAGCTATTCTTTCCGTTCAATCTATCATAGAGTTCATACTAGAATAACACCTTAAGACACAAATCAACCAAAACCCTAATGTCACCTAGATACTCCATTGTCACCTCAAGTATCCATGGACATGATTATACGATATGGATCACACAATCTCAGATTCATCTATTCAACCAACACAAAGTATTTCAAAGAGTGCCCCAAAGTTTCTACCGGAGAGTCAAGACAAAAACGTGTGCCAACCCCTATGCATAGATTTCCAATGTCACGGAACCCGCAAGTTGATCACCAAAACATACATCAAGTGGATCACGTGAATATCCCATTGTCACCACAAATAAGCACGGCAAGACATACATCAAGTGTTCTCAAATCCTTAAAGACTCAATCCGATAAGATAACTTCAAAGGGAAAACTCAATCCATTACAAGAGAGTAGAGGGGGAGATACATCATAAGTTCCAACTATAATAGCAAAGCTCGCGATACATCAAGATCGTGCCATAGAGAGAACACGAGAGAGAGATCAAACACATAGGTATTGGTACATACCCTCAGCCCCGAAGGTGAACTACTCCCTCCTCATCATGGAGAGCGCCGGGATGATGAAGGTGGCCACCGGTGATGGGTTCCCCCTCCGGCAGGGTGCCGGAACGGGCTCCCGAGAGGTTTTTGGTGGCTACAGAGCCTTGCGGCGGCGGAACTCCTGATCTATCTTCGTTGTCGATGTTTTTAGGGTATATGGGATTATATAGGTGAAAGAAGTCGGTCGAGGGGTGATCGAGGGGCCCAGGAGACAGGGGGCGCGCCCAGTAGGGGGGGAGGGCGCCCTTCTATCTCCTGGCCTCCCCGAGGCTCTTCTGACATGAACTCCAAGTCTCCCGGATCATATTCTTCCCAAAAATCACGCTCCCGAAGGTTTCATTCCGTTTGGACTCCATTTGATATTTCTTTTCTTCGAAATACTAAAACAGGCAATAAAACAGCAATATGGGATGGGCCTCCGGTTAATAGGTTAGTCCCAAAAGTAATATAAAAGTGTATAACAAAGCCCGTAATCATTCAAAACAGATAATAAAGTAGCATGAATGCTTCATAAATTATAGATACGTTGGAGACGTATCAGCATCCCCAAACTTAATTCCTGCTCGTCCTCGAGTAGGTAAATGATAAAAGAAAGAATTTATGAAGTGTGAATGCTAGCAGGTGCACAAGTTTGATCAATGATAATTTCAATCACCTTTTCTAGCATGTTTATATGTCATAACAGTAGTTCATCTCATAAAACTTCTCACGATCAAGTAACAAGCTATTCACATGTTAAAGCATAGACCATAAACTTTCTTGAAAACTAGCAAACTTCATTCTTAGTCATCAAACAATTGCAATTCATCTACTTTTTAGGAAGGGTCTATGTCAGAGCTTTGATTTAGAAAATTCCACATACTCAACTATCATATAGTCTTCTACAATTGCTAACACTCACGCAATACTTGTGGTTATGGAGTTTTAATCGGACACTGAGAAAGATAGGGGCTTATAGTGTTGCCTCCAAACGTATTCACCTTTGGGTGATGTCAACAATAATAGTTCATGCTAACTTACATCCAATTGGATATATATATCAGGATCACCCCAACACAA